TCTTTAGGTGCGCCCCTTTTGCGTTTTTTTAATTCATGGCCCCTGGCTTTATGTCTCTGTAGCATTATTACTCATGTTTAATAATGTGATGTTTGTTTACTTTAAAACAACAGTTTATTTATTAATAATTTATTTAAACACTTATTTTATAACACAACTACTTCTAATTTATATATATACTTCGAATATCTTTAAACTGATCACTATTTATATTCACCACTGTCTATCTACTAATTACTATTTATCTTCACTGTCCATATACTAACTTAACTTCACCGTGTTCTTCCGCCAATTTATATACAAATTTAAAAAATGGCGAACGTTCTATTAAGTTCACATATTCTCTCCAATACACTAGAAACATTATCTCGTCCTTTCTCGAACATCATCGAAAGCATTAGTCCGCATTCTTCCATTTTTGTCACATAATCTCTGTTGTTTTGTTCTCTTTTACAAAAATATTGTGCACAGTCTGAATGCTTTCCAAATGTGTGGCAAGGAGAGTTTTTAATGTCTGCAGTTAATTGCTTCACGTTGTCAACAATATCACTGGTATTTTTTCTGTGGTAATTTACAGCCGATTTAATTCCCACTCGTAACTTCTTTACTCCTGAACTTACTATTTTGTTCTTTGAACTGTATTTTTTCGCAAGATCATGCAAATTTGTATAATAATTCCTTTGAAGACCTTTGAGGACCATTGTTCTTTCATAGGGTTTCTTTAAGCAAATTTTTCTCTATCGCCAATAATTTTTACATATCGTCGACGATATGACAATACCTGCTAAGTGCAAGATACCCTTTTTTACAGGAGAATAAAAAAACATTATGGCGCTTGTATGTGGTGACTCTTAAATGTTAAATTTTAATATATTTAATAAAAATATGTGGCCTGTGACTGTAAAAAACTGTTTTAGGTAAATATTTTTCGGTTTTTATTAAAATACAGATAGCAGATATTGTTTCATTTTTTTGTGATCTTAGCAGGTATTGTTATTAAAAGTACTAGTAGTTCTTTACTTAAAAAAGTTTATTAACTTAATAGATACACGAACAAAAACAATGAAATGTAGTTATTTATAAAAAATAAAATAACTTAAAACAAAGAAAATTTAATGAAACTTAGTTTCGCCTTTTTTTGGGTTGTACTTGCTTGGCCCGAGATTTTGAATTTTTGATTTCTTGTATACTATTTCCATTTGGATTTTCAATATTTTTTCCAGTACGATCTTGTATGTATGGTAGATTGTCATAAAATAAGTGACACTCTTGGGATATAACACTTTTCAATTCTTGGAGGTGTTTCCATTTTTTCTGTGTAATTGGCAAGCATTCTTTGTAGAGCTTAGGAGTCATTTGTTTTGGTCTGCATGGAAGATTCTGAAATTCTAAGCTAAAATCAAGTTTCACTTTTATTTCACCGTTGGTGTCGTAATATAGAGCCTTAATGTCTGTTACAAGATTATCTCTGCCTGGTCTTATAGTGGAATAACGATGGCTTTCTGATAAACTGTAATCGTTAAAAAATGTGTGTCTTAGCTGAGTGACTTCATATGGCTCAGGTTTTATTCTGGCTTCCATTGATGCTTTAACATAGTCACTAGGCAATTCAATTACCCTATTCCTTAATTTTCGTTCTATGCAACTATGCACAGAATCACACTCCATTTGCGTGTGACCTTTAGTTAGGTATTTTTGAGTAATAGAGATTCTGTGCATAATTGCAAAGTTTAATAAGGCATTTGACAAAATATTATTTCTATTTTGGAATGTGCATCCGTCAGAATAAATTATAATTGGTAGATTATGTCCTAAGCAATGCCTCTCTAAATAATCAAGCACACATGAAACAAACGTGGAGGCCTGTAGTCCGCAATCAATTTCAGTGAACCAGTAACAAGTAACATGGTGACTAGCAGAATTATAAACGGTAAAGTTGTGGCAGCTCAGTTTTGTCTTAAAATATATTTTGGTCGCATTTAGGGATGGAGCGACTTTCACTGCTTGTAGATCCATACATAATAAAATACATTCTTTTTTTAATGCCTTAGCCTTGTCATTAGACTGTTCTTTTCTAGCCATTTCCTTGTCATCAATGTGTTTTTTCCATAGATTTTCATCAATATTTTTATTCTCATATTCAATACACACATCACAACGATCTTTTTTTGGCGAACATAAACTAAGGTTCTTTTCTTTAAACATTAGTTTAAATGTTTGAGGACTAAGAAATTGTTTATCTTCTTTGATACAGGTTTCCTTATAAAAATTATGCAACTGCTTTAGTGTAGTAAAATGTTGTTCTAAATATAATTTGTTGCTATCCTTTCTTGTATAATGGGAAGGCTGTTTGGGAAGTTCATCAAAAAACCAACTCATAAAAGCTTTGCTTTCTTCAAAAGCATTTACCCTGTAATTTCTATTTTTACGTCGTTTGTTTTGCTCGCATTTTGACTCGTTCATGTTATACACACTATTTTTTATCCAGCTCTCTATCGTGAATCTCCCTAAACCTATGGTATTAAGGAATGACTTACGGCATACTTGAACTAACTCTTTACCATTGTGAAGTTTATAAACCATGGTATTTTCCCGTCTACTACCTTCACTTTCCCTCGTTTTTCTGGATGTAGATTGAAGGCTCACATGTCCAGACACAAACAATTTCCTCTGATCCCACGTCATCTTTTTCCAAAAGTTAGCAAATATTTCTTTTCTAATCTGTTCACTAAAAGTATTGCAGAACCTTTTCTTAGATTTTATACACATTTTTGACACGCAGGGTTCTCCAATTTTCCTTGCCGCCCGAGGAATATTATGTTTAAAGTTTTTGTTTTTGTCCCGAGAAAAGCCTACATAATCTTCGCCTTTCATTCTAAGCATTTGATTTTTATTTCTTTTCCATTCGCTTTTATCAGCTATATTTTTTCTTTTTCGCCCTTCGGTCATATCTCCCCATTCAGCCTCATTGTTGTTCTCTTGACCATCGGCATTTTCAATTTCTTCACCTTGAAAGTCGGCGTCGATATTCTTGTAAGAATTGTCCATGTAAGCATTATTAAAGGAATTATCGTCGTCGCTGTTGGTCTCGGACTCGCTACTAGGGACATAATCAGCATCAACTTTAGAAACGGGTTGGTCACTAATATTAATACAACAACCAGCACTTGTACTAGGTTGTAAATATTCATACTCTAAACTGCAATCAGTTTCTTGGTCAGCAAACAATGGAAGATCAAAATCAACATTATTTTCTATTGCATTATTAATTCCAACATCATTTAAAAACACTACGGGCATATTTTCTAAATCAAATTTATCAGAAGTTTTTAAATTCTTATTAGTACAATCTTCTAATATTTCTGTTTCTGGTACTAAATCATCAGAACTTGTTCTAAACAATTCATTTTCGGTATTACTATTTGGTAAATTTGTTTGGGTAATGTTATACGGACCTAAATTGGCGTATTCGCTAGAAGCTAATTCTCGTATTTTTGATTCTTGTGTAACAAGGTTTAGAATTTTTTGTGCTCGAGACGTCATGCTTTCTGAAAGAAAGTAAAATATTATCTGCTTTTATATCCTAAAACTGCTACAGACAAATTGACAAAAAAATTACAAATTAGAATTAATATTAATTATAACGATTTTATTGAGGGAAAAATAAAAAGTTCAAGGCAAGCAGAACCTGCTAAATGTAATCAAATACAGTAATAACATAAATGCAATAGCTGCTATTTACGTTATATCAAAAATCTAGTTTTTACGTAGAATCTAAATTTGTATTACCCAAAAATAATTATATATCGACATTAAGAAAACTGAACTTACCCTTTTCTTAAACACATTCAACTTTTAACTTCTATTAGATAGCAATAACTGGGATTTATAGCGAATCGTACCTAATCGGTCGGTATAACCTATAATAATAACAAGAAAACTGACAGATAGCAGGTATTGTCGCGCCTAACAAAAGGTCGATTAGATAGCATGAATTGTTTTCATTTAATAAAGTAAGAAAAACATTTTTTCTGTAGTTAGCAGACTATTTCATATTGCGCGCTAAATATGTATGAAGCTAACTACACAAAAAAGTCATATTTGCCAAAAATGTCAGATAGCAGCTATTGTCATAACGTCGACGATATTTTAATTTGTGCATTTTTATACTATTACGGAACCCTTCTAAAATTAGTTCTGATTCCATAGATGTCGACGAACCATCCCAAATTTTTGAACATTTATGAGTTACAACTTTTATGTTTTTAGTTAAAGCTCTGGCACAGATAGGACAACACACGCGAAACAGAAATAACTTTTATATTGAAACTGTTGTTAACAGTGCAACACAAAATTCACTATTTTTTAAGGATATAACTCACTCCCAGAGAAAATGTAATCTGTAAATTCTGTAACTATATTTAAAATCTATGTTAAAGATTATTTAATTAATGAATATTTCTCCAGAAATAGTAACAGGGTTAGTTAGTTTTAATTGCATTTGTATTATCTATGTTTTTATCTATATATTACTAAATTTGTATGTATTAAGAAACTAGCTAAATAAAGGAAATGATAAATAAAAAAAAAAACACTGTAGATATCACTTTAATATTTAAATTTGCCGCCACATTTAAGTTGGCAACGTCCAGTCTGATCTTTGGTAATTTTCTAGTTTTGACAGATATGCTGTACTTGTCAATTGTCATGAAGATTGTCACTTTGGTGTTTTATGTGCTAGAGTCAGATGCATGGCGATTAAAACCATTTTTAATTATTTTGAATTTTATTATGAAAAATACGAAGAAATAATAATTACAACACTTAGATTGTTCGTATTATTATTATTATACAGAGTGAGCAATGTTTGAAACTGAAAAACAAGTACATTTATTATAAAACAAAGTTTCACTAATTTAAACAAAATTTTATTTCATTTAATTTTTATCAGTATTTAAAATAATTAAAAAAAAATTATAATTATATATTTTCTCGGATAGATGTATCGAAATTCTTCTAACCAAAGCGAATCAAGATGAGCCATATTGGCCGGCGCTAACGTCCGACAAAAAGAAGCACCATTGGTTAAAATGCGACTTCAACAAATGGAACGATGAAGACGATTCGGGTGACGAAGGTGTAGGCGGTATGGGCGGCGGCGATTTCGAAGAAATGATGAGGCAAATGGGAGGTTTAGGTATGTAAAGGTTTTTATTTATAGGTATACTAGGTACACGTGCAGCAGATTGGTGAATTTGACACTTTTACTTGTGGGAATTTTGGTTTTGTTGTTAAAATAATGACGGTATTAATGCATTAGTACATAGTGTTTATGACTGGGTGTGGGAACAAGCCTCGTATCATATTTTTTTTTGTTTTTTATTGTAATTAAGGTTTTGAGAACAATCGTATTTTTAGGTGGAGACAAAAAGGGCGGCAAACCAAACTTCGACGATCTAGAAGGCGACGAAGGGGACGACTCAGACGACGAGCCAATCCCCGACCTCGAGTAGTCTCCTAAGATTTAGATTTCTTATTTTTTTTTTTTTCGAATTTTGTATGATTATTGTTAAGTTATATGAATAAAAGTGAAGTTTTTAGAGGCGATACTTCAATTCCCTGTATATTCTCGACATCTCATTTTTTTATTTTTAATGTTTGATTGTGTAATTAATTTGAAAACGATTAATTCCATCAAAAATAATAAATAAAGTGTAGAATCGATTTTTACTTTTTCTATATAATATGCTAGTGTCTAAAGAATAATAATACTGTGTATATTTTTAATTGGATGTAATAAAATAATTGCGAACTTTCAGTGAACGTTTCTTTTTACTAGAAGTAAAAAAAGTTTTGAGAAAATCCTGTTGGACATGAAAATTTGAGAATTCGTAAAAAGAAGAATTGAAAAAAATGTATTTATGTGAAGCAAAGACCCTAAGTAGGATTATGTTGGCATAACATGGCGGCCATCTAGGTGTTTTCTATTCAATAAGATTTTTTAACATTTTTCTATTTATGGGAAATTCATGACATTTTCTCCTATACATATAAAAATGTCAAAAATTCTTGCAAGTCGAGAATCGACCTCCTGATGGATGTATTGAAAATATCCATAGGCGTATCAGTCTTAAAAGAAAATGTTTAATATTTATTAATTTTCTCAGTAAGTATTTAATGATATCAAATCGATTTTTTTTAGTTCTAATTATTATTTTATCATATATTTATTGAATTTGGAAAATACCAGGTGTTCAAATAGGAAAGGATGTCAGTTGTTGGCTGTAGGATATTTCCTGTATCTTGGAAACTATGAACTGTAGAATTTTGAGAAAAAAATTGCCTACAAAGTGGTTAAAAGAATGATGGAAATTATTTAATGTTTATTCAGAGTTATTTTCAAAATTTGCACTTTTTCTCAAATGTTTCGAATACGGTCAATTTTGGAGAAATCGTTTAAAGACAAAAATTGGGCGCATACTAGTTCGCTCCCGCGGTCAGTCGAGCTTGTTAATCGTATACTAGTTCGCTCCAAAGGTACTATACTAATTCGCTCCGGTTTATTTAGCGCCCTCAGGTAGATTACAAAGGGGTCGATTAGCCCCCAGGTAGGTTCTTGTGTTGGAACATTAAAAAATAAAAAAGATTGTTTTATTTAAAAAAGCTAATATTTATTTACCAAAACTAAAATATATACATATTAAAATAATATAATTATAATGCAATATATCGGGTACCTACGAATATTTAAGTGTTCCTAAAAATACTATTATTTAAAAACTATTTTTCTATCCTCTTATACCTACGAGACATAATTTTAACAAAATCAAATATAGTATAGGCATTGTATAAATATAACTAGTAGGTCAGTCCAATGCTAATATTTGTTTGAAGTTGAAAAGAGACCACCACCAGATGGATACTCTGTTTGAGTGGCAATTCTTTCCGAGACTCGAATACTTATGACAATTCAACATAGATGGCGATGTGTTACAACTAAACAACTTAAACGTTGCCATTTTTATTCCATTTTGTGTATTTGGTGCATTTGATTTTGTTGCAAGTTGCAATATTTACGGTGTGCTTCTGTTGTTTTCTTTAATTATTAAATAGGTGTAAGTTTTAGTTTGTGCGATCAGGATATACCTACATAAGTATATTTTATTGGGACGCTATTATTAGGTTCTAACAAGAATTTGGTTTTCCGTTAAAAAAAAAGGTAAGCTAGGTGTATGATAAAATGCCTAATTTCATCATTTTTTTTTTCTTTAATATTTACATTGCATAAATATTTTTTCCAGATGTAATTCCTATAGGAAAAAATAATGCCTTATAGTACCTATATTAAAATACATTTTTTTTTTTTTTGACAGATGTCTGGAAATAAGTGTGTTTATTTCAATTGTGGATTGACACCGTATAGAGATCCGACACTACGGTTATTTCGATTTCCAGTTAAAAACCCTTCTTTGACCCAGGAGTGGATTTTAAAATCTGGTAAGAGACGTATGGTAAAAACAGTGTTGGACTGGCCCTGAAATATTTAAGTACTTAGTTTTATTAACGTATATGGAAATAACATTAATCGATCACTCGGTGGTAGGCCAGATTTAGGAAATGGAAAAGCGGGACAACGGTGATCACTGGGGATCACGTTAAAAAGATTTTTATTAAATCAGGTTTTTTTTGTGTGGAGATCTAAAAACAAGGTCCTCCGATTATATTTTTAAAACAATTCCGGGGTTTTTTTAAAAAAAATCTTATCTCTTCAAAAATTTCTTTATTTATAACTTTGGATTTACAAAGTATGCCATTTGAGTAAAAAGCGAGGTATTTAGGTAAAAAGCGGGGCATTTTGGTACTTTGGCGTGGCGCGTGACAATAAGTGAAAAAGGGGGACAATTAAGTCTAAAGCGGGACGACTGGCAATTAAACATTAATGTGAAATATAGGGGTAGATTTCGATATTTTATTAAAAATTCATATTAACTGCCAAATATATTGTAGGAAATGCTGCATTGATAAACCTGAGTCCAACATCTTTAAGAAAAAAATTTGTATGCAGCAAACATTTTGAGGACCGGTACTTAACTTCAAGACGATTGCCAAGCACCGCTATACCAAAAATGTATGGTACAAATGAAACGCAAGAAATATTTGAAATAACCCATGTATCAAAAACATATTTGTCACAGCCTTCAACAAGTAGAGATATTTCTCATGAAAGTGACGAAAGTAGTAATGATACAATCGATCCATTTTTGAATCAGATTTCAAATCTTCCTTCGTCATCGTTATTGAAGGGGGAAGTGCGTCCAAAAAATAATAATCCTGAAATTTTGAAAAAAAAAATAAAGGAAACCCAGAAAAAAAATAATATTCTTCAAACACGGATCAGAGTCTTAAAAAAACAAATTTGTAATGCTAAATCATCATTAACTCCTCCTAACAAGCCACTTACTCAATTTTCTGCAGCTTTGGTAAAGATGCAACTACGAGGTAAAAAACGGATATGGTCACCAATAGAAAAAAAAACAGCTTTAGAAATTTTTTACAAAGGTCCTGGCACGTACAAATGTCTACGTAGGAGAGGAGTTATTTTACCGGCAGTATCCACAATTAAAAGTTGGATTTCAAATTTCATTTGTAACCCTGGATTTAACAAAAAAATATTTGAAAATGTAAGAATGAAAGCAGAAACTATGTCTAGTCTTGACAAGAAATGCATTTTATTATTTGATGAAATGGCCGTTAAAAAAGCCATTGAATATAACAGAAAATTGGACATTACAGAGGGATTTCAAGACCTTGGTACCAACAAGAGAAACCCAATTTTTGCTGGACAAGCATTAGTACTAATGATTAGAGGCACATTCAGTCAATGGAAAATTCCAATTGCATTTTTTTTGACAGGAGATGGTGTGGATGCTGACTCTCTAAAAGAGATAATTACTAATGGCTTGAGAATGGTCAAAGCTACAGGTTTGGAACCTATAGGAATGGTATGCGATTTGTCCAGAATAAACCAAAAATTGTATAGAAATTTGGGTATTACAGTAGATAATCCACAATTTCAAATAGACGGGCATAGGTATTTTGCATTTTTCGATGTGCCACATTTAATAAAATGCATCAGAAATAATTTTATTCAAGCTGATTTTATATTTAACGGAAAATATATAAGTTTTGCTGATGTTAAAAAATTGTACGATCTCGACCAAAGCAGCAAAACTGGAAGGGCTCTAATAAAGTTAACACCAAAACATATTCACCCAAATTCTTTCGAGAAAATGAATGTAAAACTTGCCACTCAACTACTTAGTCATTCTGTAGCTGCAGCTATTAAAACAGCAACCAGAACAGGTGAATTAGTTTCGGTTACATCTGAAAATACGGCGTATTTTATTGAAACCATAAATAATTTGTTTGATTCTCTAAATAGTACAAGTCCTTATAGCTCAAGACCATGTAGTCGAGCTTACTGTGACCAGAATATCGAGGTTATTAATGCTACTCAAAGAGGATACGAACTATTTAGAGATTTGTATAAACAGACTAGTAATGGCAAGTTAACAAGACCTGATTCCTTCGATGGTTTTTTACTGACCATAAATGCGGTCAAACAATTTTATTTAGATTTAAAGGACAAAGGTCTTAAATATATATTAACCGGAAGATTAATTCAGGACCCTTTAGAAAATCAATTTTCGGTTTACAGGCAGAAAGGAGGTTACAATCGAAACCCTACTGTGAGAAGTTTTAAAGCCGCTTTTAAATTAAATATAGTTAATAATTTTATGAAACCTCCTGCTAAGGCAAATTCTGATGAAGACAGAAATCTATTATCTTCAAATACCTCATTAACACTCAATATTTTGAATACAACTGAAGACTTAACTGAGGACGAAAAAGCAGATAATAATGAACCAGAATGTGAAAGTAACTTATGGAGGGGCCATCGAAATCAGTCGACGACTACTCCGAAGCCCCTGTCACTTTGGAAGAGTGTTCTACTTTATATTTTGCAGGATATTTATTAAAAAAGTGTTTACATAAATTTAAATGCGAAGGTTGTCAAAATCATTTAGAAGGTTCAGGAGATATGGATGACAAACACCAACTATTAATTTTTTACAAAAGTTATGATATGAGTGACAAATGTGGATTAAAAAATCCATCAACATTGTTGACTTCATTTACGAAATTATCATTCCAAATATTTGCCGAGTACTTCGATAAATATTGCACAAAAAAAGTATTACAAAATTTACGTAATATAATTGAGGAGAGAATGCACATAATTTTGCCAGAATGGTACAATTGTGACAATAACTGCAAAATTCACAGGAACTATATTCTTGAATTATTAATTGTAACACAAATTTTCAAAAATTGTAAAAATCGTTCTAAAACGGAAGTGACAAAGAAAACAAGAAAAATGAAGTTTCCAAAAAAAATACAAAATTATCAATTCTTCAGCATAAATAACTAAACCTACCATTTTCTTTATTTTTCTTATGATTTCCTTTTCTATTTTTTTATGATACCTGAATGTACCTAACGATGTATAAATTTTACATAAAAATGTTTTTCTATGTTTAAAGTGTAAATATAATCAGCTTATGTTTTACTTCGTAAATTACTTTTTTAGTTTTATGCGATTTTTTATAACCCTATGGCAACGTAAAAATACAATTATAAATTAAAAATGTTTTTGTTGTTTAAAAATCAATGTATTTA